TGAGTTGGTATAAAAATTCAACTTTAGATCACACATTGGAAAAATAGTAAAAAAAGAATAAGTTTGGGGTGTGTGAATCTTACGAGTGATGATAGCAAAAATTTGACCATTGAGGGTCGAAAATTGAAACAAGTCGTTATGGTGTTTTACTTAATTATTCACACACAAACACACACACACATTAGTTTTGCATTGGAAAAGTAGATATTGATTTTGATATTGCGAACTTGAAGCTGTTTATAGATTTAATACAATGATTTCAATCCAAAAACAAAGTGGAAGGTTATCTAACCAAAACCTTTTGCATGTGTGTATTTATTAAATTTATGGTTTTATTTGAAAACAAACAAATGTTTAAATTTGAGGTGTTTAATAAGTGTATTTTACACACTTATTTGAGCTCTAAAATATGGATATTTCGTAGTTCTTTTATTGAAATTATAACCTAATTTATTGTATATTTCATTTATTAGATGAAACTCGATGAAAGGAAATGGAATTGAAAGAAAAAAAACAAAAAATGGTAAGATCCAAAGTTTTGGGATTAAAGTGTAAATACTTAAAAGTCGTGTCGAATCTCACGATAAAAATTCCAAAATGCTAGGGGTCAATTGAATGCAATTAGAAGTCAAAAAGGAGTAAAATATGATCAAAATATTTTCAAAAATCAATTTTCAACTTCACGAGTATGTTTCAGATTTTTAGCTCGTGATTGAAATCCCCTTTTAACCTAGTCAATGTTCTAATTGGAAAAAGAGATATTTCTAGTAAAATTGTAACCATTTGAGTTATCTTTACAATTCAATTTGAATATCTTCTATCTGATGTCGGGAGAGAAAGTTATGATAAAAATATTAAATGAAGTGTAGTGCAGATTTTCACCCGAAATGTAGAGCAGATATAGAGTCGCGTCACCACTATTACAGTGCTAGGTGCCGCCTTAGTGTATCTAGGGCGCATTTTTTGTCCATTTTGAAACCCATAAAAATCCTACATTTGACACAAGTGGGGAGGAGTATAAATACAAGTTTTTAACACTTTTGAGTGAGTTACATACAATTTGGGGAAGAAAAACACAAAATCATCAAGATCAAAGAGCAAAAGTTAGGGTTTGAAGATTTTGACGTTGAAGAAAATTCTTAGTGCAAGATCCAATTTTTTCCATGATCAAGATTTCAAAATTCAGTTATGAACTCTATAATTTTTGTTTTTCTTTCATTATTATGAGTTGCAAAATTCATAGTTAGGGCGAACAATGTAATCTATGTGTGACCATTTTATTTCTTTTATTCAAGATTCTAATTCTTTAAGTACATATATATTAATTTTATTCATGAATTTAATGTTTTGAATTCTTTGGCTAATTATTCAATGATTTTGTGAATATATTATGAATCGAAAAGTGAGTTTTAAATTTTAGCCACATGTTAAAATTCGGTAATTGAGTAAAACGTGTACTAATATTTCGTTTAACTAATTATTATGGTTATTAGATGAATTCTTAAAACTAATATTTCGTTTAACAAAGATTAATTTACATAGAGATATGAAATTGAATTAGTTAAATAGATTCAATGAGAACTCGAGAGATGCGTACATTGAATACTTTAGAATAATTCGACCGAATACGACGATAATAATAAATCTTAATTGACGAATTAAAGAGGATCCATAGATAAAATTGTAAGTCCTAGCATTCTCATTCATACTTTTAAAACCCAAATTCAATAATTATGTACGTTAGATAATTTAGTTTAGTTAGAATAATTTAGATACCAATCACAAACCTTATTATTCGTTTTCAATCAAATTAAAGTTATTAATAATTTAATCAATTGTTAAATAGTTGTTCTCGTGAGAACGACATCCGGACGCATAGGTCAACTATATTACTTGTTACGATCTGTACACTTGTGGAATATAAAAATCGACAACACTATGTCTTCGACCCTTTCTTGAAATCTCTTTTCTCATAACCATTTTCGACCTTTTTTTTAATAATTATGTCCTGTAATGATTCAAATGAAAGGAAAATGGATTCTTCCAATCGTAATCCAATTTCTTTATTTTTGGAAAATATAGCAAGCATAGATAATCGAGTTTGGCTTCATTGAATCTTGCAACTTTATGCAAAAGTGATCATCAATGGAGGCATTGCTCCCTCTATTAGACTTTACGAAAATCCCTTGTTACATAAAAGAAATTGGACCAATGCTTCAAATATTTTTCCTTACCTTTCTCAATCCTTCCATGTAAAATGGCTCTAATTCGTCAAAAGTATTCACCAAAGTCTCACAAGCCGAATTCTGAACCTGGTCTCTAATGCCCTTAATGTCATCTGATGAAGTTTTTTTCGTCGCTTCGGACAACTTAACTGTTACGCAAAAGCGAGAATATGTAATATATAAAATGAGAATAAAAACACAAGATTTACGTGAAAATCCAATACGAGAAAAATCAAGGACGAAGAAGAAGAAATCCACTATATCAAAAATGAGTACGAGAGATTGATTTTTTATTATTTATTTTACAACCACTCCAAAAATATAATACAATGACACCCTAAAATACACCACAAATTAATAAAACATGTTCAAACCGCGAGGGCAGAGCCCCCACATCCCTAACAGAATTTTCATAATTTTGGTTTCATCACGTATATCACACTGTGAGCTTTTTGGACCGGACTAAATAGAATTCGGGTTACCTAATTAAACGAGACCCAAATTTTTGGGGCGGAATATTTTGGGCCCAAATTGACAGAAGGGAAATTACCATAGACCAAGTGTTTACTTTCACGTTTTAAAAAATTAGGTTATCACTTTATTTTTCCACTTTTCAGGTTTTTATCTATCCAAACTCTAAATCTATCCATTTCTCTCCATTCTCTCACCTCTCTCCACAACGCCGTTCTCTCCATCATCCCACTACCACCGTCTGCCGCCTCTTCCTCCTCCTCCTCCTTCCTTGTCGGTTGTTTGGGTGTGGGGGTGTTTCGGCTTGCGCGGATGGATGAGCTTCAGTTTTCGACGAGTTCTGTCCAGGCCCAGGTCAATCGGTCGGATTTTATCGTCGGGAATCTTCCGGCGTCATTGTCTCAATCCCAGGTTCTGTTCTTGTGGTCTATCGTTCATGCCCACTACTGGATTCGTGGTTGAGGTTTTTGGTTGGTGTTGGTTTGCGGCAAGTTTGGTTTTTACTTTTTTGGTCTATTTTAGAGTCTTGTTTGGCTATTGTAGTAGCTTATGCTTTAGCCTAGGAATCGGTGTCGATGGGGTGGAGGTGGTGTCGATGTATGTGACCCACTGTTTGTCGTGGGCGGTGGATCTGGTGGCAGCCGTCGCGAAGATGGGGTCTGATTTTGGAAAATGTCGCAGATTGGTGATGGTGATCCGTATGGTAGTTGTCGTTTTTTGTTATTGTTGTGGCGGGTCAACGGCGGCGATGGTTCTTTTTTGGTGTCTGTGACCTAGCGATTGTATTTTTTTGGTATCTGTGACCTAATTTAAAATTGATAATTTGTAACTAAAAAAATAATCTGTGACCTATAATTTTTTGATCTGTGACCTCGAAATAATATGTGACATATAAAATTTTAGATCTGTGATCTCGAAATAATCTGTGACCTACAAAAATTTTTATCTGTGACTTGGAAATAATACGTGACCTACAAAAAATTTTATCTATGATCTCGAAATAATTCGTGACCTACAAAATTTTTGATACGTGACATCGAAAAAGTCGCCGGAGTGGTCGCCGGTCACTGGAGTAATCGTCGGAGCAGAGGTGGCAGTATGATGAGTTAATTATATTATATTACAGTTTAATATTTAATTTAATATAATAATTGTGAAATAGAATTAATTAATTTATGAAAAACCCGATTTTTGCAATTCTAAACCTTGGGACCTGATTTTTGATGGGGTACTTACAAAAATACCCTTAAAATTAGGGGTGTTTTGAAAAATCATGTGAAAGGTTTTTAGGAAGTAAAAAATACTGTGTAAAATAAAAAAGTGACACAATGTCACTTTTTTTTATAAAAATTGTCACTTCTTTAACTTTTTTTAAAAAAGTGACACAAACTCAAAAAAAGTGACAAAATTCAAAAAAAGTGACAAGTACTAAAATAACACAATCCATTTGTGCAACACCAATAATCATGTTCTTAAAATAATCACCATATTCAAACCAATCTACATAATGATTACGTAAAAAAAAAGTGACAATGAAAATGTGATCCACTGTCACTTTAAAGTTAAGTGTCACTTTTTTATTAAAAATAACATACAATGTCACTTTTACTAAAAATTGACGTTTGTCACTAAAAAAGTAATAGAAATCAAGAAAGTAATTGAAAAAAGTGACAGATTAAAAAAAGTGACAAACATTGACAAAGATTAAAAAGTGGCAAACATTAAAAAAAAGTGACATAAATTCAAAAAAGTGACAAAACACCAATTAAAACATTAGAATGACAAAGCATGATCAAGTGACATTTGTTGCATGATTGTGATTCATTGGAATCAATTCAACAAATTTTTAAAAAGTAACAATTCAAAAAAGTGGCACAAATTAAAAAAAGATATACAGATTAAAAAAGTGACAGACAATAAAAAAAGTGACAATTTTAGAAAAGTGACGAACTCAAAAAAGTGACGAAAATTAAAAAAAAAAAGTTACACGAATTAAAAAAAAGTGACAAACACTAATTTGCATAAAGAAGTTACACGCAGAAAGAAGACATTACATAAAAATCACACAGAAGAATCACAGCTCTGCATTAATTTGCCTAGGTCTACTAATACATAAATGCTAAGTTGAGTGTTAAACATAAAATCATTCCATCAAACTCTTGATAGAATATCGATTAGATTCTACGAGGTAGTACAACAGGCCTATCACAAGAGACACTAAAGAAATCAATTCAAAACAACATAGGCTTAGGCAAATTTCTAGTCTCAGGCGGCAAAATTTCATAAAATGTCCGAGAGCAGCCTCTATTCATCTTGATTGGCATCAAGATTTTTGAGTTTGGATTCCAATTCATCTTCACTGCCTTCACCATCATCCCCAGATTCTCTGTTGTTGTCATCATCTCCTCCTTCAGGGTCATTCTCGTCCATGGGTCCAAGATTTTCCGGAGATTCTTTGAAGATATCCTTCAACTCATCAATACCTTCATCAGAAATGAAGTTCTCATTAACATTCAGCAACTTGAAAAAGGCCTTATGCACTAAAGCCTGATACAAAAAAAGTAATGACAGCAACTCAAAAAGCGACAAAAAACTAAAAAAAGTGACAAATAAAGAAATGACAACTCCACCAACTCTTTCCTTGCATTTTCTCCCATCGACAGCAACAGAGAGTTCATATTTCAACTTCTCAATTTTCTTGGCATTCTTAGCACTATTTGGACGTCTCTCCATATTGCCATTTTTATAATGACCTTAATAGCATCTGATTCATTAACTTTTCCCGGTTTGAAATTCGTTTTGATCTCAACAACTATCTCCACTAAGCCATTCTTTTGCAAATCACCATTCCATCTTTTGTCAAGAAATTCATTCATCACTAAAGCATTTTTGTCCATAACTCACAGAAGAAATGAAAAGGGCCCATTTCATCCATGGCTGAAGGCCATCTGCAATCACAAAAAAATACCAAAAATGTGATAAAAGCACAAAATGTTCAGCTAAGTTGTTATTCTTGACTCCATTACATGCCCAATTTAGCTCCTATTTGACAACTATTATACAAAAACTCTTTTTTCTACGTACTCATTTTGAACCATATATTCACTCAATAAAATATTCTGCATGTAAATCCAAATTTTTTTCCTACTTTTACCTATATATTCTCCAAAAATTCAATATTCAAAACTTTATTTTTGCAAAGTAGTGGCCATCAAACATGGCCTTAATCAAGTCACATTTTGCACAGGTTCTCATTTTCTACATGTCAAGCATGTGGACCATATTACTCATCTATTGCACCTTACACATGAGCAAGCACAATGGGGATTAAAATGCACTTGATTGATGATTATTAACCTCCCAATCCCCCACTTTTATTTCTCATTGATGCTTCGCGAAGACTTGGTTATAATATTTGGTTGCTTCACGAATATATCAAAGAATACCGATCAAATTCACGAATATAAGCCCTCAAACTCATCAGAAATTCAACAATCAAGATTTAACAAAACATTGGAAATCACCTAGTATATATGTTCTTCATTTAAAGGTTAACATTTCCACTACAACTATTACCATAACAGAAATTGTACAACTTAAAAAAGAAAAAAAAAAAAATTCTACACCACTCCAATTAAATTCCACGAGCAATTAATTTGTAGAATATGCTAAAAATTAAAATAGCAAGTGTCTCCATGCCACATCGATTCTAATCAAAACATCTAGGGATAGTAAATTATATACAGATGTATGTAATTGATAGATACATGCTTACATACAATGCGTGTATATATATGGAGAATGAGGAGAGAGATTTACTTGAGAACCATTATTGTTGCAATTGGTGAGTTTTCTGAGCTTCTTTTACACTTGGAATGGTCGAAACCCTAGGGCGAGGACGACAGAGAGCAAACGGCGAAGACCGGAAAAAAGGGTTTATCTTTTGAACTTTTAGGGAAGTTTGTCTTCTGGAACGGGAATTGGGGATCTGATTTGGGGGGTTTTGACGTTTGGGACGTATTAATTACGTGGTAAGTAATTTATTTAATTTCAAAGTGTATTATTCAATTTGGTTAATTTAATAGAGTAGTGGGCCTAATTTACCCATTTTTGATTTTAAGATAGATGAAGTCTGAGTTGTAAATTTTTCCCACAGGAAAAGGCCTACCAATTTGGATCCAGCTAGGCTAATATTGGGCCATGGAGCAGATTGGTTTTCGTTTAATCCGCGAAAAGCAGCCGTTGGTTTGGAATTAAATGGGCCCGTGAGTTGAGTGAAGTGAGGCAAAATGGAGTTAATGGAAAATCGAATTCTAAATCCTCCAATTACCTATTTTGAGATCGAAAAAAAAAAAAAAAAAATACTGGCTTATTGACTATTTTAGGAATCTATATGTGACAATCACTCGTTCTATAAAATTTTCCAATGAAAGAATTAGTTCATGAAGTTATTTCCAGTTATAGCAAGTCAGCAACATTTTCAAGTCAACAAACAAGCTTGAAGGTACCAGTCCATTATACATTTGCAATAAAATATGTCATACATTTCAATAAGAAAAATGACTTATAATTTGGTACATAAGAAAAAAGAAACCAAACATATTTTCATGAGACGGGATAGTATTCTGTATTCATAACTAAGAGTGTGTTTGATTGCATTTATTTTTCATGAAAAATGTCAGTTTTCCACCCAAAATCCTACTTTGAAGTGTTTGATTGCTATTTTTTTCATGAAAAATATTTTTCAACTTTTAAAAATATGTCTAATTTTCTTTATTTTTAAGGAAAACATTTTCTTTAGGAATGTATGTTTTTGTTTTTCTCAAAATTAGGAAAATATTTTTTTTTTTAGGATATATTTTTCATGTCAATCGAACACATTCATATAGTTTCTCACATGTATGGTCTTTTTTTTTTTAATAAAAATACGAAATATGAATTCTATTGCAAAGTTCAGTAAAGATCGCTTAAATTAATACATTCGTATATTTAGAAGTCAACGACTAGCCATAAAAGCACGAACCAAACCTCCTTCCCCAACTATTTCCGCTAGTCAAATCTAGAGAGAGAGAGAGAGAGAGAGAGAGAATGGAGAAATTCGCAGAGCTGAAAGAGGCAGTGGAGACGGTGGAGCTAGTTGATGCCCATGCGCACAACATAGTGGATTTAGATTCCACCTTTCCTTTCCTCAACTGCTTCACCGAGGCCACAGGAGACGCCTTATCCTATGCACCTCACACCATCAACTTCAAGGTAAACGCTCCCCGCGCCCCCAACAAGTCAAAGTTCACAGATAACACTATATAATCGGTAAATAATATTCTAATGGTCCTCTTTGGGATGACAACTCAAACCTTTTCCAAAGTTTGACGATTATCAAGCTGGGATGAAAATGCTCTGTTTCCCCTCGTGTGTGCAATGTGCAGCTGACTGCGTTTTACTATAATTTATTTTAAGTTACACGTCCAGAAAAAGATTTAAAAAACAATATCTTCACATTAGCGATTAGAGTTGGTTCATAATTATGTTAAAATAAGTTTATGTTGAGCGAGAGCCCATGCTAAGAATACTTTTGAATTCCATATGAAACAACTTGAAGAAATCAATACAGGAATTCTATCACATCTGGTAAGTTGAAAAATTGTTAAAAGGAGGCTAAATTGCCATTGTCATTATTGAATATTCCAAAACAACCTTCAAATTGTAGTCAATCTTTGTTATCATTAATATCATTGTATATATAGGCATAATGTGACTTTTTTGAAGGGTTAAGCACATTCATCATATAGGGTATAAACTTTCTGTGATAATTTACTTCACTTTTTTGAAGATGGTAAGTTTTAATACTGTAAAAAGAGACTAAGTTGTAAAAAGAGAAAGTTCTTATTTTGGTTAAATAAAGATTAATATGTTGAATCTTATTTATGTAAAAAGATATTGGTTATGACAAATGGTCAAAGGCTTACATGATAAACAACATATTTTTTACAATGACTTCAAATATAGTTGAATTACTATAATTTATTCTAAGTTGCATGTCCAGAAAAAGATTTTCGAAAAAACCATTAATACAAAGTACTGTGAATTGAAAATTAGACAACTGTCAGGTTTTTTCCAAGAAATTGTGTCGTATACTTTATATGTATATGTTAGTGCTATAGAAACTCTCAAACATACCATGTGCACCTGCAATCCGAATGCATAATGACTTATGAGCGGTATCTCTCAGTTAGTAGAACCATAATTTTTTCTCCGATCAATTTCTAATCCAATTTTCACATTTTGTAGGGATATGATTTCTCTATGGTTTTTCAATATAAAAGAAAATGGAAATTTACCTTCACTTGGTCACCTAAGTGTCTGTAGCAACTTCTATTTATTCTGGTTCATCTAATATAGAGGAACTCACAGAAAACAAATTTCATGTTTATGTTGTAGTGCGTGTAAAATATAACTTTTTCTGCAAGTTTTGTATTGATGTTAAGTTGTTAACAAAAGTGTACATGTGGAGCGCATCGCATTTGCATATTGTAAAACTTTAAGGTCAGCACATCTGATCACTAGGAAGAATTGATGCATTCTTGTTTCAATGTTTCTGTCATCATCAAGATTCAAAATTAAGAAAAAGAATTGTTTTTTCCTGCAGTAATTTTTTATGACCTAAATCTAGAAATTTTTTGAGGAGATTTACTTCTTACTGAATTTTTTAATACATATTTTAGAGAAGCTTGAAGGAAATTGCTGAACTGTATGGTTCTGAAATATCCTTGCCTGCTGTTCAAGAATATCGGACCAGATGTGGAGTGGAATCAATTACTGCAAAATGCCTCAAGGCTGCTAGAATCTCTGTCGTACTCATTGATGATGGACTTGAATTAGACAAGAAGCATGATATTGAGTGGCACAAGAATTTTGTACCTGTTGTTGGTCGAATATTAAGAATTGAGCGTCTAGCTGAGAAAATTCTTGATGAGGTGAGATGCTTCTATCTTCTGATTTGGCTTAAGTTTCATTTCACAGTTCCTTGTATTGTAAAGGCCAAATCAGACCCCAATGAAAGTAGAAGATTAGCAAGTGCTGATACTGGAGTACTTATAGTACATGGTGGAATACATAGGAAGTTTGGATTCATAATACGGATATTTGAACTCTGAAAGAATTAAAGTAAAATTGGGATGGTTTTTCTTCATCTAATGCTTCATTTATGTGTTTTAGTATCCTTTCCTTCTATGTCTTCGAGTTCCATTAATTGACTAATAGGGATTGGTTTATCAAGTAAAGGAAATATAAATTTCTGGTGTCACATACACACAGACAAGAGTTTTTTTTTCCTTTTTTTTTTTTATTGAAACTTTGATCATTCTCTATTTTGATTTTTCCCAAATTCCTTTATTTTCTAAATGGCAGATCCATCAGTTTACCTCCTTCAGTCACTCTTTCTTTTAATTTCAAAATCTTGTTTTAGGGGAGCCCAGGTGGAACAGCATGGACGTTGGACTCATTCACAGAAGTATTTGTGGGAAAATTGAAGTCATATCCTTTCAAATTTTCATTTTCTTGGCCAAATTTTCAATTGATGCATAAAGAGCTTCCAAGTTCTAGTTGATTTCCTTACAAACTGTTACTCATGCTAATGAAATTTTCGGTTTTAAAAGTATAGCTGCATACCGCAGTGGACTTGAAATTAATACAAATGTCTCAAGGATGGAAGCTGAAGGGGGCCTCAATGATGTTCTGCGTGGTATGTTCTGCATTAATGTATTCATTATATCCTTGAGTTAGCACGGATTATTCTGATTTTTATATCTTGCCAGCTGGATACCCTGTTCGTATCACAAATAAAAACTTCATTGATCACATCTTCATGCTTGCTTTGGAGGTTGCTCTGTGTTTTGACTTACCCATGCAGATACACACGGGGTAACTGGATTTTAAATCTAATCATATTATGCCCATTCTTTCCTCATCTTTGATTTTGTATTAACTTCTTGATCATATTATAACAGTGGAGCTACGATTAGGGACAATCTATATTTATTTGCATGTACTAACAGGAAACTGAATCTTTAATTGCTCTTTATTAGTTTTGGGGACAAAGATCTGGATTTAAGGCTAGCCAATCCCCTTCACCTCCGTAGTCTCCTTGAGGATGGCAGATTTAGTAAATGCCGAATTGTGCTTTTACATGCATCATACCCTTTTTCTAGGGAAGCATCATATTTGGCCTCTGTGTACCCTCAGGTATGGGTCTTGAAGCTTCCATTATAAGCTATTTAGAAAATTGTTTTGATGTTAGAGACAAAGGTTTGTCTTGCGGGTCTCCTAATAGAAGTAACACCTGTATCGTATAGGTCTATCTGGACTTCGGATTGGCAGTTCCTAAACTCAGCTTCCATGGGATGTTATCTTCTGTCAAAGAACTCTTGGAGTTGGCTCCGATAAAAAAGGTGAAATTCATTCACTTTGGGACATAGGTAAATAATATACCTTGGGACCATTAAAATGTGGCCTTTATGGGAAATAACACTTGAAAGTTCCTGTAGTACAGGGACCAAAATTGTGTGTTTCATGCTCAAATTCTCTTCCTCTTCCTTATCCAGACTAACTTCATTTTTGTTAAGCCAAGTTTTTCGTAACATGAAATCACATATATTGCTATTAGCAGGTGATGTTCAGTACCGATGGATATGCTTTTCCTGAGAGCTTCTACCTAGGTTGGTTTTACTTATAGTTCATATTTGATTTGTTCAAAACCTGAAAAGTGTTGGCTTGGTTTTGCAAATATAAGTTGTTATAGTTCAGTTCATAAGTGAAGTCCCTCTTGAAGAATACAGGACTGGGATGGTAGTTTGTGTTTCCACCGTAATATGTTTGATATTGTGGTATAAATTTTCTGCTTGATTGGTTGAAAAGGTGTAATAGTTGTAGAAATTTATGGGCCTAACTCATCTCACAAAACCGGTTCAGCAAGAGAGGTTTGCCACATTGTTTATAAGCTGGCCCAAAATATTGTTCACAGGCGAAGTGGGATTTATTTCCAACAATAGTAGCTAAAAAATGAAAAAAAAAAATGGTTCATAGGTATTGCCTGTTTTTCTTGTAGACCAAAAATGAAGTAGTCATATATGTGCATTGCATTCGACTCTTAATAATTGTGTCTGGCTTGAGGGGACTGAAATTTAGGTTCTATAAGGAATGAGCTTAGAGTGGCTAATCCACCAAATTGAGTATTTTATGACACAAGTGGTCCCATTCTTGCCTTCCATTTACAATAATAAGAATTCCTTTCTCAAATTTTGTCATAAGAACCATTCAACAGCGACTGAAACACCAAAAGCAATGAGTGCTTGGCTGAGTGTGAGAGGCAAAAACTAATATTTTTAAAACCAAACTGGACTAGAACCGGCAGACTAGCCAGTTACCACAGTCAACTGATCCAACAGATCCATTAGCCAGTTCAGAAAGAGCAATGTCATTGTGACGCTACTATACATTTTGCTTTTCTTCATTTAACATGGTTCGTTTAGATCTCTCACTACCCTTTTATGAAAATTCTACGTGTCAAGCATTTGAAGAATGAATGAATGAATTCATAATGAACTTGAGGGGCGTGTTGAGGCTATAATTCTCGTGTTAGCAGCTTGTTCAAGCCTTAAAGCCATCCATTTATGAAAATTTCACGTGTAGAGGACTTGAAAAAAATATGGATTCGGCTTGAGGGTAGGGAACTGATTTCACAGTCTCACATGTGAGATCGGATGTAGCCTTGCAACATACTCTTATTGAGTTTTGCATAATGTGTATTACTTCTCCAAAATCAAAGAGAAGATTAAAAAATTCACAGCTAAGCAATGTCCACCTATCTGTGCACGATATTGCTATCAGACACTGAATGACATGTGATGGATTGATAGGTGCCCGCGCTTCCATGATTATTTCCAACCTTATTCAATAGTTTTACGTATCTAGTTGCTTTGGCAGGCTAAGCCTATGAAAGTTCTCTTTGGAACATTTAAGCATGAAAGAAATTATCAGTTGCATTTGATAATGAAAAAACTCTGACACCATTTCTGAGGCATGTCTGTTGTGATGAAATAAATTACCTAAAATCATGCAAAAAATTGCAGTCTAAAATTAACTTGCAGTTGCAATATATGTAGTTACTAAAGGATCGTTGCAAACAGATATTTCATGTCATTATTAAGTTGTAATCTGATGTGATTTCTTTCACAGGAGCAAAGAAAGCTCGCGAGATTGTATTTGCTGTTCTACGTGATGCATGCATGGATGGAGATCTTTCAATTTCAGAATCTCTTCAAGCAGTTAAAGACATATTTGCTGAAAATTCAAATCAATTATACAAGATTAAAGCTGCTGCAGCATCTTTTGATTTGAAAAATGTCAGATCTTCCTCCCCAAAATTGGAGATAATTAACAGTGTTCAAGACGTTGCATTAGTTCGCATTCTTTGGGTAGATGCTTCTGGACAGAATAGATGTCGTGTAAGGCTTTTGTTCGTTCAGCTTTCTAACTTATATTGGATGCTTTATTTATTGTCATGAAGTTCATTTGATCATCTTTAGACACTCTGAATTCGAATGCTCCATCTGTTGACTGAAAAACATTGGATTAAGGCATTTGTTATAGAAAATATAATCTACACATCTCTTAATGAAGACCCTTGTTAAGACCTTGATAGTTTACTTACACACATACCTTCATGATGCAGGAAAATTTCTTTCTTAATTCTTTTTGGGTACTTAGCATACAGGATAAAATGAGTAGCCAAACAATGCCTTGATCTTCATAACATAATCTTAGTGCATTAATATGATGGTAAATATAAAACGTCGCGTGTGACCTGCCTGATATTCAATTCTGCTACATTTGTTCCTGTAATTCATAGCCTAATAGATCATGGCACCTAGGGACTACCCACCACATATGCCCAGCAAGGAGGATTGAACTACTGGCATAGACCTTCTGCCAATAACTCCTCTGCAACACCCTACAAGTATCGGATGAGTTCTTCTAATTCTATTTGTGAATAGAGGACAAGACAGAAAAACAAGCTGCAATGCTGCTTTTACCCTTATAGACTTATTTCAAAATTCAATTTCTGAAATCTGTCAACACTCTTCAAATTTCACATCAAAAGACATGTTCGCAGAAGAAACGAGTAGAGTCAGGAGTAACCAATGTACATTTGAAATAGGACGTGGACATTGCTTGTATATTCCTTAGTTTATACTTGTGAATCAATCAGACAACTTCAAAGCAGCCACAACCCCTCTCACAGGGAATAGCAGAAAGAAAGATTTTAGAAGTTATTTGATGGTGTGCTACCTTATTTCACAAAATTTATTGTGTAATGTGCATCCTGACCTAGATCTTAGTTGAAACTTAAGAATGAGTTCTTGATTTGACATTTCAACATTTGGCTGTGGTTATTTAGCATTTTACTTTTGAATTGGTATAACTTTCCAAGAAAGTAGAACTGCAGGAACCTCTATATGTTTTATTGGGTTCTAGAAAGTTCTACAGAATTCAGTCAGAGATACCTTACCTAGTCAACCCTATGAAGAAAAGACAGCTTTGATGGTTGCCTGAATATTTTCAAAAGGTTTACCTTTTGTTGCTCCAACTGCCAAACCACAGACATATTTCATCCTTTTTTTTGCATGGTTGTATGTTCTTCCGGTTAAGAAACATATACAAAAGAAAACACCTTGTAACCTTGTGTAAAATTTGATTTACATTTCACACAATTAATTTTGGTCTTTAATTCGTAGAGCCAATCAAATTATATGCTTTCACTATGCATTGCAACCATGTATGATTTGTTAAGAAAACAAATTGTATCGATGAAAATGCAGTATGATTTTGTTGCAACTTGTATATCAGGTTGTTCCAAAAGAGCGCTTCCATAATCTGGTCATGAAGAATGGTGTTGGTCTAGCTTGTGCTTCTATGGGAATGTCTTCTGCAATAGATGGTCCTGCTGATGGAACTAATCTGACTGGAGTGGGTGAGATCAGACTCATTCCTGATATGACAACCAAATGCATAATTCCATGGTAGGAAATTACTTTCAAGATCATGGCACCAGCCATTTCAATGTGACATATTCTTATTGTTTTTATACTCTTGACATTTTGTTCTTTGCCTTTTCCTTCGACTGATTGTGAACGGAAGTGAATGAAACTGAAAGACATCTTTATCCACTCTTCAATGAGTATTGCCAAATCCCTCTGTCAAATATGGCTTTTATGTGATAAAGAGATGATTTGGACATGTATTTTGCTTGTAATAGGAAGCAGGCATGTTACCTGCATTATCATTTTGTAAACATCCTTCCTTGGAGAAGCACAGTATTGAGATCCTCCTTTTTAGTTACAATATAGAAGACACTGGTAATGAGTACATTTGAAAAGCTTGAGCTGTCTCTTGCTGGATTATAAACCTTATGAGATCTTGCCTCCGTTTTGCTTGTAATTATGTTAGACCTGGCCGTGTTATTTTTTATTTTGTTCTGTATTTCAGCATTTGCTTCATGAGTCTACATTTATGACATTATTATCTACATTTAACCAAGGGTTTGATCTAAATTCTCCTATCAGAGGTAAGAGCTGTCAATGATTTTTCGTATAATTCTTTATGGCATAGGGCAAAACAACAGGAAATGGTTCTAGCTGATATGCACCTTAAACCTGGAGAAGCATGGGAATATTGTCCAAGAGAGGCACTGAGAAGAGCTTCAAAAGTTTTGCAAGATGAATTTAACTTGGTATTATCTAGTTTATTTTGTCTTAAGGTTTGAAATATCTGCATTATCTTAACAAAAATCTGTTATTTGCACAGGAAATGAATGCAGGCTTTGAGAATGAGTTTATTCTCTTAAAGAGTATTATAGTGTATGACAGTAAATCATTTCACCTCTTTATCCTTCGGAATTCCCCACGTATTATGACTCAATTGCTATTCTGAATAACTCTGCAGGGAGGGGAAAGAACAATGGATACCGTTTGACTCAGCACCTTACTGCTCCACAGCTGCATTTGATGCTGCTTTCCCCATACTTCATGAAGTTGTAGCTTCTCTTCAATCCTTGAATATTGTAGTGGAACAGGTCAGAAGAAATTCTTGCTATTATTTATATGAACTATCAGTAATTGGATTTATTTTCGGTCCTTAATGGTGAATTGGACTTTGGAGGTACGTAAACTTAGAAGACAGTTTGCTGAATCAAAAGTAGGCCTAATGATTGTTGAGTTGAGTTTGTTGTTGTATGCAAAGATCATGAGTTTGATCTCTGTACAGAGGTCAACTTTCAAAATTGTGGGGATATGTATTTTCCTTTCTAATGCAGTACAGCGCCAACAGACACGAGAATTATAGAAGAGAGAAGGGATATATAATAGGGAAAATTGCAGCCACGGTACCAAATCTTTAACATTTTTGCAGACTTTGCCCAAACCTTTGTTTTGTGCCACTCACGGTACCAAACCTTTAAACAATTCGTACCCGGAGTCCAAATGGATGGTTTCCATCTAGTTGACCGTTTGTTGACCAAAAAAGTCAAAATTGACCAAATTCATTAAGGACAATATAGTAACTTTGTATTTTACATTTAAAATGATTATTAAGAAAAGAAATAAATATTATAAAGAAAAGAAAAGAAATAACAAATTACTGTTCCTCTTTTTCACCCTCTCTTCCCCCCACCCCTCCTCCACCAACACCCCAATCATCTTCTTCTACACCCTACAGCCGACAGCGCCGCCCTCGCCGCCATCTCCGTCACCGCCAACAACAATCACTACCAAAATTCCCTTTCTGCACCTTTCCTTTTTTTCTCTCAGGACTCATTGAGCTCAAATTGGTCATCATCTCAAATATTTCAAGGATATCTAACGTAATTCACATTCGCTGGCCTTAGCGTCTTATTCTCATCGATGGAGCGTGAATCAAACTCTGCGTTTCGATATACGGCAGTGACTTCACCGGAGATTTTTCCGGCCATCATGAAAAGACCAAAAAACTCCTTGTCACAACCCATAATCCCTCCAACCCCACAGCAACAATCAACCACAATCCTTCGACCAATTTCCAAGAAGCCCAGAAACATTTTCCAAAATTCCCAACTCCTCACTGTCAACTCGACTCCTCTCAACGCCAGAAAATCTGAACTCTACTTGCCACTCACTTTTCCGACCGGCCAACACTTCAGGTGGAAACAAATAGGCCATATACAATACACATGCTCAATTGGGTCCCATTTAGTTTCCCTCAAGCAACTTGAAAACGACGATGTTGGGTACTTTTTTCATAATGAGGATTTTGCTAGTGGGGAAGCTCAAGTTGTGTTGTTTGATTTTTTGAATATGGGTATTTCATTGAGTGAGTTATGGGAGGGATTTAGGGCGTCTGATGAGAGATTTTGTCAACTGGTGGAGTATTTGGAGGGTGCCAGGGTTTTGATGCAGGACCCATTGGAGTGTCTTATTCAATTTGTTTGTTCATCTAATAATAACATTCAGAGGATTATTAAAATGGTCGATTTTGTTTCATCAAAGGGCAGATTTTTGGGGGTCTGTGGAAGGGTTTTCGGCCATCAAGGGTTTTTAATCGGGTTTCCCAGTGAGGGAAGGAGCAGAAAGGGAATTTTGGTAGTGGTTGTTTTTAGCGGTGACGGAGATGCGGCGACGCCTTTGGCTGTAGGGTGTAGAAGAAGTTGATTGGGGTGGGGTGGGGTGGGGTGGGGTGGGGTGGGGTAGAAGATGAACAGTAATTTTGTTATTTCTTTCTTTATAATCATTTTAAATGTAAAATACAAAGTTACCATTTTGTCCTCAAGGAATTTGGTCAATTTTGACTTTTTTGGTCAACTTGACGGAAACCGTCCATTTGGACTCCGGGTGCAAATTGTTCAAAAATTTGGTACCGTGGGTGGTATAAAACAAAGGTTTGGTCAAAGTCTGCAAAAATGTGAAATGTTTGGTACCGTGGCTGCAATTTTTCCTATATAATACCCCAAATTATTTTATAGTCGTTAATTATAAAAATTAGGATCTTGCTAGAAGAGTATGAAAGGTAGGGAATAAAATTGTATATCAACCAATAGTTCAAGGATTAAAAGTACAATTTCCTGTATATGGAAAAATTGGATGGAATTAAGTAAACTTTTTTATATATGAAAGATAAGATATGAAGATTCCTTCCTAAATAAGTAAACTACCATATACGTGTGAATATATATAATTATGATTGATTAAATTAAATTATAGTTTTATTATAATTACGAGCATCTATGTATGTATAAAATATATACAATTATTAAATTATGTGATTATATATATATATATATATATATATATATATATAGTGAAAATTAAGTAAATTTTCTTATATATGAAAGTTGAGTTGGAAAGATTCCTTCTAAATAAGAAAACTAACATGTGTAGATATATATGTGTATAATTTTTATAAAGTATAACTTATTACTTTATTTAGTGCACAATTATAGTGACACGATTATGACACATTCTTTTTGGTACTCCTAAATGCACCTATAAGTACCACACCTAAATCACACCCACAAACACACAAATTATCACTTTGTTGAAAAAGTTAAATTATCCTCTATGTATTTACTATGATTCTATTCAAATTATCAAGGTAAGTGTAGTCATACGTTGTATGTTAAATCGATTTTTATACTTTAAAATATGGAATTCGATTTATGAATATGATATGGGTCCTATATGTTTAAGTTTAATGGACCAGAGTTTAGTAGCGTTAGTCACGAGAATTATAGCAACGAAGTACGGTTCTTAATTCCTGTCTTTCTGTGTATGTTATGATTATGTACGACGATTATGGCCACTTAAGTTCGCTTTCTAATCCCCGTGTCTTCTTATGTACGTTAAAAATTACTAAATTTTAAATATGAATTACGATTTATGTGGCTCACTTATTGAGATTTTATCTCATTACTTGTAATTTTCTTCCTTTTAGGTAATTAAGGTTCTAGCATTGGAGTTTGGAATTGGCCACTTGTGGTATAATAAAGAGAAGATAATTTATTGATTTTTAACAATAAATTTTATACTTAAGAAAGTATTTTATTTTTAATTATTGTAACAAACCCTTATTAATAGAAAATACTTTCAAGATAAAAATACTAACATATTTAACAACTCAAATGGTAAGTTTTGGGTCATTACAGGATAAAGAAAGGAGAAAAGGGGCGAAGAGAGAAGAATAAAAGAGAGATAAGGAAGAAAATATTGTTTATCCAATTCCTCAAAAGTCTGACTAATACAGTGCATTAACCCTAGTTATATAGAATTTTCGCTAGTCTAATTTAAGTAAAAAACCTAGGAAATAAAACCTAAATTGTGTCAAAATAAAAAATTACTATAAACGAAATATAAGGAATTGAACTTGGCAAGTCTTCAATATCACATCTTTAAGAATCTCCATCCATTTTTTCCTCTCAACTTTGAGATGTTTCTGGTTAATAAGCTTTGTTTGATAGATCTCATTGGAATATCTGATCGTCAATATTTAGTGTAGTAGGTTTAGTTTCTTTTGATGATAGCAAGATCCTATCAAATGAAAGAAAATTGATTGAGGGAACTCATGTTCTTTTTCCTTCTAAATTGCAATGATGACTTCAGAGTCTTCCCACAAACCCCCATGGTAATTTTGCCTTCCCAAATAAGGAAATTTTGAGATTGGTAAAATAGTGAAACTTGTTTCAGAAAAGAGATTTTGATTTAGCATGAATGATAGCTCGTAATTCATAAATCAATTGTAGCTTTACTTTTTGATTAGAACTGCTAAGTGTAATACTTGAACACAGTAGACACACTCAATTCTATTACTGGCACTAGTTAGTTCATTTCGCTTTAAGAAATACTTCTTGTATTGAGGTTTTGTCTTTGGAAATTTATTAGGTACATGCAGAAGCTGGGAATGGTCAATTTGAAATTGCATTGGGATACACGACCTGCGGCATTGCAGCTGACAACTTAATTTACACACGTGAAACTATTCGAGCTGTGGCCAGAAAACATGGATTGTTGGCAACTTTTGTGCCGAAGTAGGTAACCAGATGTTAACAAAGGGTCCAAGAGTTACTATATAGGTCTACTGCTCTTTATCACTTTAGGAATCTGACACGGGTTAACTGATATTCTTTTTGTATAGATTCAATAATTAATTAAAATCGAATTGATTTTGGTCTATAAAGGTTTTTTCCACTCAGGACTTCTGTTTTAGCTTGTTTCATTGTCCAACATTGTATTTTTGGCGGAATAACGGAGTCTGCATTGTCTGCCATATGTGCTATAATGGTCTATGGAACACTTGTATTTCTGAATTTGATGCTGGGAGACAAGTAAATTTCTTAAAGTCAGCATAAATTTGTTTGATATGCAAATTATAATTTTGTCGTCATTTTGTTCTTACATATGGTGTCTTTTACATGGTTCTAGGAGATTTATCTTGGCTTCTTCACTCTCAAAGGGATCATTTTTCACAATCATTGTCAAAATTCAGCTATTAGTCTCTTGTCCTAATTGTTTCCAACATTTTTCATCTTTTGTCACTGATCAAATGAAAGGGAGAAAAAGAGAATACATAACCTCCTCCTCCTCCTCACAAATAAGATGTATCATTATATCTTGGTTTGGCACAAAGCATCTCTTAATTTGTTTCTTGTTCGGTTGTTCCTTCATAATTTGAAGTTTGCTACTGTGTCTTGAATACTGGTTTCTGAGATTGGATATTCCCAATGTTAAGTTTGTGAAAGTGAAATCATTTTGTTAAGATATCAACTGTATATCTTTACCAAACAATATATTTCTTTCTGGTAAATATATATAAGATACTTTTTGTCTATCGAGTCAAATAGAATGACGTGTATTCAACACGAGTTACTTTTTGTTGAGATAAATGCATAATTTAGATGAAGAACCGTTTATGCATACTCCATCAAATTTTATATACAGAAAATATTTGAGAAATGACTGTCAGTTTTTATCCACTTCAGCTAAGAACATTCAGCCTCGAGGACTGCACCTATTCTACCTTTTATCTTTTTGTCTTTAGGACCCGAAGAACTTAATATTTCTACTTTGAACACTTCCCATCGGTTAAACATAAATCATTCTTGGACGGAGCACTGCAATATTTATAGTTTATTAAATATAAAATCATTCTCAGCCACCCAACTTTTGCTGGCATTATTTTGCTCCCAACTCCTTTCATAGTTTATTTTCTATGACGAGTATGGATAATATCTATATAAAGGTATACTGGATGTTGATCGATCTCAAAGCTCATCCTCATCTTTTCTCCATTGTCACCAGAAACAATCTTCACCGATGAATGCAAAATGAGTATTTAAGCTAAAATTGAGCATTGATTGTCCGATGGGATGTAATTAGTGCTATTCTTGGAAGTAATGTTTCCTTGACATGTCATGGTATTACGTCTAAGATGATTATTTTATGTGGATTAACCTTCTAAATGAGTTAAGCACCAAGTCATTGAAAGAGAAAGAAACTTGATTGCATTTAGCTGAGAGATTTTATTGGAGTTTCTTTATCAATGCTTGGATATAATTCTTGATTTCCCAGTTTTCTGCAGCACTGATCGATGCTAATGGAAACTTCATGTGGATGTTTCTCATTGTATGACGCGTGGTTTTACTTTTCTTACTAGGTATGCACTAGATGATATTGGCTCTGGATCACACGTGCACATCAGTTTGTCTGAGAATGGAAAAAATGTATTTATTGCACATGGTGAATCAACTCAACATGGAATGTCCCAGATTGGAGAGCAGTTCATGGCTGGAGTGTTGAATCATCTTCCTTCAATATTGACATTTACAGCACCTGTTCCAAATAGGTTAGCATTTTGCAATTTATATTTATGTTGATGTTGCCTCCTTTTATTGATGCTCTGACCTTACGTAATATTATCATCACTATTCTCGTACGATCAAACAAGTAGATTGACCATTACTTTGGAAATACCAACTCATCTTTACTGTCAGCCAATGTTACTGATGCAAAAGTATCCATTTTGATACACATTTTTTGTTGCCTCGATAGTTTTTGGCACCAAGCATACTGAAATTCACATAAATAGAAATTATAAGTTAATTTATCTCTGCATCTTTCATGGAGGTATTCTTTAGCCCCTTCTCTTCCAAATTCACTGTTTTTTTCTTAAGTAGTAAGTTCTTCTTAACAGAATGCGCAATTTCTGCCCCAGTTCTTATCTTTGTTGAGGTTGGTAACTACTATATGTATATTGTTTACTGGGAATACTACTGTTATTCTTTTCAAGAAAACTAGCTCTTTCAAATATTCATCTATTTCTTATTCAGCAATTGACAATCAAACTAAATACTGCAAGCTGCCCTGTTACCACCTGATAACAACATTAAGCAACCTAATATGATTTCATGATTGTTAAAATGCTTATTCTACCATATAATGATAGTTTATTGATCTAACAACTCCATCTATTTATTTTGTAATTGATTTTAGTAAGTAAATAGAATTATAAAGTAAATATGCTGAATGAAAGAAAATGATCTTCAGAGAATGACAAAACATTCGGGTATATGAAGAATGAGATCATTTTTTGCCTACCATTCAGTGCTTCTTATACTTTGTAGTAGATTTCCATTTTTAAAGAGACACAGTTGTTTAGAAATTATATCCTGTTGTCAATTGTTTGTTGTTGCATTGATCGCCTATAATGCTCAAGTTATATAATCTACGATTTCTGGTAAAAGATATATTATCGACACTTGCACATCTTATACCACATTGCATTGAGGGACAGTAAATATTTAAAAAAAAAAATTGTAACTCTCTACAGTACCAAAGAGTTAAAACAAGGTATTCTTACAATATGTAATTTGAGAGGATGTTGATATTAAGGATTTGATTTAAATGCATTCGTCTTACAAAGAAAAAGAGGAAGAAGACCTAATAACATCTGGTTGTGCGTATAAATTTGTATTAATATAATATAATGAGCTGTAAACAATTATGTTTTGCTCTAGCTCCTTGTTAACTGTTAATGTCCTCTAGTTATGACCGCCTACAACCTAATACATGGAGTGGAGCATACCTGTGTTGGGGAAAGGAAAATAGAGAAGCTCCTTTGAGAACTGCATGCTCACCAGGAGCCCCAGATGGTGCTGTAAGCAACTTTGAGATCAAGGCATTTGATGGGTGCACAAATCCGTACCTAGCCCTCGCCTCCATAATTGCTGCAGGGATAGATGGTCTTCGCAAACACTCGAGCCTGCCCGATCCAATTGGTAAGGTTACATGAGATACAAGTAGTAACAACATATCCAAGACATCTATTCTGTATGCTGTTTTGCATTTCATTGTTTCTTATCACAAGATAACTCCGAAGGCATGTCAATAAATTCTATTATCATCTACATGATGAAATGAACAATCTTAATGATTTCTTAGTCCAGGAAGGTTAACATGCTATCCTTTAATTCTGTGATATCCTCTAAGCTCCCATCCTAGACAATTTCATGTTGGTACTAGGGTGACTCGATGCTTTCATGCCATTAAATGTTGATATATCCTTTTATATAAATAATTTGTTGACTCCCCTGAAAAAAAAAAAAATTGTTTCTCTTGTTTGATCTGAATATCTGCTCTGATCTCGAAGGTGTCTCCTGAAGCATGTGGTTATGCATTTCTACGCCTGAAATATCCGATGTGATCCATGTTAATTTTGCCCTTTGAAATTATGTACACTGCTTTTAATCACCATTTGATGTCAATTTAACAAGTTGCTAATTTCTCTTTCTTTTGCTCTTGGAGTCATACGACTGAGGGTTAATACTGGTATTCAAAAAGAGTCCAAGTTGTAATTCATATACAGGCCACAGCTAGAGATATCTCGCGACTCGGCCAGAGTAACATCCACATTAATCTAAATGTCTGTTGTGTCAATTTAAATATGCAAATATTTATAATCTGTTAGATATTTATACCTTAGAGTTTTGAAACTGGCCTGAACATAAATATATCATTAGGATGAAAGACGTCATTTCCCTACGAATGCTTTTCCAAAACATTGCTGTGTAATGCTGCCAATATGACCAATGTTGCGGTGAGTTTTGACTTGTACAAATGACACAAGAATTGAAGGTTTATGGGTATGAGGTTATCCTTTCTATATTTCTGAAATTAGATTTCTGCTTGTTTATACTTTTAGTGGATGTACCATTGACTTGAAATCGTGCATTTTCTTTTTCTTAATGAGTGCTTAAATGAATCGATGTGGGATATGATGTATAGCATGGCTTGAGAGGACACCATTGTTCCATTATTAATTGACACGAGACTTAAATTATAAAAAAAAGCTTGAAATTATGATTACTGCTATCTCTGAGGGAAGTTCTTTCTCCTATTACTGACCCTTGAATACAGTCAAAAGAAGCTATTTATCTTGAAATTGATGACTTGATCTGTGTATTATCAGCTATTTCTTCTTGAAACAGATGACAATCCTGATAGGGTCAAAGATAAAGTGAAAAGATTACCCAAGTCTCTAGCTGAATCAGTAGAAGCTCTTGAAAAAGATGCGGTAATGAGAGATTTTATTGGCGAAAAGCTTTTGACTGCCATCAAAGGTGTCAGAAAGGTAGTTACTTGACTACCCTTATTTCAGTTAAAATTCTTAAACTGCATATCAAATGTTTTTTACCACGTTTGATCCATAATGTCTAGTAGAAGCCTTGCTGTAGTTATACTGGACTATTAATGTTACGATCCAATCTCTATGTCCAAACCGTTGTATCATATGTATGTACTGTCCACTTTGGGAGAGGACATGCTCTTTTACCCTTCACGACTTTCTATCACGTTCCCAAGATTTTAAACTTTTTCAGACTTAAATTAAATTCGGGTACCAATTGAGCAACTCTCAAGTTGAATCATGTACTACCAGGATTCAAAAGGTCTTTGGTTCGAAGTGATAGAAATCCATAAGGATTAGGAGTACCTATAATATAATGACTTGAGCACAAATGTTGGATTGTTAAAATTATCTTGCAGATCCTGAAATTCAAATATGATTGAGTAGAAGCAATTTTAATTGGTTAATAAACTGCTTTTTAATTCAAATATGAAATTAAATTCTGAGAGTACTTTCTTATCATGCAGGCTGAGATCAAGCACTACTCAGAAAATAAGGATGCTTGGAAGAAGCTTATTCACAGATATTGAGGTTTGATTATACTAATCTGCTCTGCGAAATTCGGACTCTGCCCTGATTGAAACCTTTGTTTGCTGATTCTTATACAGTTCAGTAATAAAGCCTGTGCTGTTATTGACCCTTAATGTCACAATATGTTGGCTTATTCGGGTTCAAAGGTGGGCCGGGCCATTATTTGACTGCTGGTTCAGTATGGGAGCCACCAGAAATAAAACCCTCAAATGACTAAAATACCCTTATAGTAAAATAATATATATTTTTTGAAAGGTAATCAATAATTTTATTAATCAATGCATAATACACATGAAATGTATTATCAAATTAAGTCAGAAAGTAACAATATGAAATTAGGCAGCCCGTCTATATGCCTAAGAGCCGCAGCATTGAACCAAGTATACAATGTCAAATAAAACAATTCTCTAATCTGCTCTATTGTCCGTGATTGATTTTCAAAACAGTGACTCTTTCTTTCTCTCCAAAAACACCAGAGGATGCAACTCAGAATAAGGTTCCAAACAAGTTTGCTATCTTTATCTCGAAATTTTTTCCTCAACGCCTTTAACATGTCATTCATACGCCTCGACAACATCTAATCCATGTGTTACGATGCCAAAATATCGTTCCACAGTAAACGAGCAACATCACAATGAAGGAACAAGTTGTCAATCGTCTCTCCATCCTTCTTATACATATAGCACCACTTCGTAACAAAGAAGTCCCTTATACGAAGATTATCTCGCGTTAACACTTATCCTCTAACCACAGTTCATAGTAAAAATGTCACTCGTGGAGACAGTTTACGTTTTCAAACCATCTTCCAGGGGAATGAACCCTCTACAAGTCCTAATAAAGATTTAAAATAAGTGTGAACTGAAAAAATACCATCACGTGTCAAACTCCACCTGCAACAATCACCCTCTCCTGCCCTGAAATGTACCTCCTACAAAGATGTCAAAAACAACGCATAATCATCCAGTTCCCAATCCTGCAAACCCTGACCAAAAACAATGTTCCAACTGGNAATAAGTAGATTTGACAAAGTGGACTTTATGAGAGTAAGACGGCCTCCCTTTGAGAAGTACATACGCTTCCAACTCGCTAGCTCTCTCCCACTGTGATAGCCTCAGATTTTCCCACATTTATTTTCAATCGAGATGCGGCTTCAAAGTACAGGAGTAAGCGACGCAAGTTCCTGAATTGCTCAGCATCTGCATCACAGAAAATTAGCGTATCATCTGCAAATAGCAAATGAGAAACCTGCAACTACTCAACAACAAAGCCTCTTAACAAATTTTGCCCCATGGCCTTCTCAAACATCCTACTGAAGGCTTCCATAACAAACAACAATGGGGACAGAGGATCCCCTTACCTCAGTCCTTTTCTACTACGAAAATAACCCTTCGGAGTGCCATTCACCATGATCGAGAAAGAAACCGTAGAGATACAAAACTGAATCCACTGGCACCATTTCTCCCCAAATCCACATCGCCTGAGCATATACAAAAAGAAACTCCAGTTAACGTGGTCATAAGCCTTCTGAATGTCGAGATTACATAACATTCCTGGAACCCTTAGTCGCATTCTTGAATCAATGCATTCATTTGCAATAAGTACGGAATTCAAAAATTGGCGCCTTTTGACAAATGCATTTTGAAATTTAAACACCACTTTACCCATCACTTCCTTTTATCTATTCGTCAAAATCTTGTACATCCCACTCACTAAGCTGATGGGACGAAAATCCTTAATATTCGTCGCTCTCGGTTTCTTAGGAATTAACACAATAAATGTAGCATTAGCGCTTCTTAGGAATCTTCCATGCTGAAAGAAATAAGTAAGGACATCCACTATGTCTGATCGCACCACTTCCCAATAAGACTTATCGAAAGAGAAAGATAATCCATCGGGTCCTGGTGCCTTATCGTCATTCATGCTGAACACCACCTCTCTAATTTCATTCTCCTCAAATGGTCTCTCTAACCAATTAGCATCCTTCGCATTGATAGTAGAAAAGTCTTGCCCATCCAATTCTGGCCTCCAGTCCAACTGCTCACGATACAGAGTCTGATAAAAGCTTACAATATGGGTCCCAATATCATGTGGGTCCTTATAAGTAACCCCATTAACCTCCAACATAGTGATAGAATTGTTATGCCTGTTGAAATTAGCAACCTTATGGAAAAATTGGGTGCATCTGTCCCCCTCTTTCAACAACTTGACCCTAGATTTCTGACTCCAAGCAATCTCCTCTATTTCCACCAATCTCTCCAACTCTTCCCTTAATTCTCCACGTCTCGCCCTATCATCCCCTACCAGTCTTCCTCCTTCCTATCCAACTCTTCTATATCTGCTAAGCATTGATTTTGACGATAGCTAACATCTCCCACCGCCTCCTCATTCGACCTCTTGAGGTCCTTTTTCAAAACCTTCATTTTCTGATCTAACACATAATTAGGAGACCCCCTAAAGTTATATGATGCCCACCAATTCCGTATTCGTTCCTCGAAACTTTCAACTTTTAACCACGTCCTCTCGAACCTGAAATGCCTTCTTCCACTTTGCCTATCATTCCCAGATAACGAAATGGAGAAATTGTCTGAATACAACCTTCCCAATCTCTGTAGTAAAATAATATAGAAAGCAGTTAATTAAGTTCATGCCAGCAGGTCCAGGCGTGTCACCAATTAATAATTAACGATAATTAAATGAAAAGAAAATATATGGCCACTCATTTCCCCAACAGAACTAAAGAAAAATCTTTATTTTGTACTTGAATATTTAACGATAATTAAGGGCATTTTGAACAAAATTTTGAGTGCTGTCTTGAATATTTTCGTCTCCCCTAGAAGCCATTGACTCGAATAATAATCCAAGTTGGTCCCTTTTATTATTTATAATTCCTTGAGAAAAGCTTTATCATGTTTGGCTTAGCATAAAAAGCTTACTAAATTTACCTTTTTTCATTGTAATATGCATGGAGCTACACGGTGTTTTAAGCTACAACTGTCATAACATTCAAAACAAATTGTCAAGAATTTAATTTCTTGTATTTTCTTTAACAATGCGAATCATATTATAAAGCGAAATATTTATCAAGAATTGTCATACAATACCATTTATGAGGTCCGTTTTGAGTGTCAAGAGGCATGAAGAAAAATTTTGTACTCTTCTTTTTGCAAGAGGTGCCTGTGGTTTCGAACATGGTGTCATGTGGGGTCCATTGACCCAACGAAATTTACGAATTTCCTCTTTTCTTCAAAATTTAAATTTTTATTCCTTTCATTTTTCCGTGAAAGCCCAAATTTGAAATTATTACTTAATTTTTCATTCCTTCCTAATATGTAGATTTTGTCCATTCCATCAAATATAGTTAGTGTCACTGCTCACCTTGTTGACGTAGATGACGACCACAAATATTAAGCTACCGGACTACCTCTCGTTTATTCACAATGAAAAATGTCTGGTTCCGTTATTGGACAAAGTTGAATCATAATTAGGATACAAAAATGTCTAGTCCTCATTGCCGTTTCTGTATTCGTTGGGGGTGTTTTCAGTTATAACTTGGTCAAAATTTTAAAAACACGTTTTTGTTGTTTTCAGTTACTATTACACCCAACCACCATCATTGCTGCCTGCAAAACACCACCAACCGTTGCCGTCGCCCCAACATCGCCCCAATCACTACCATCGTCGAAACTACATCACCACCCAAACCAATACCACAGTCACTAGAACCACCATCACAAAAAACGTCATCACACAACCGCTAGATCACCAACAACAGCCACCACCATCATCATCACCAACCACAATCACAAATTTTCAGTTTTCAACCTTAAGTTCACCCGTGAAATCAGCGAGCTGTGGTTGAAATTAGGCTTGACCCATGGTTGGATTAGGTGCGCTAGAGGGAGAGGAAGGTAACCCATGTGGTCCGCGACCATGGGTTGAGCGGACGTCGTTGCAATCATAGATTTCTTCAAACTTCGCGAAACGGGATCGCGACCTCATTTCGATTAATTGTTGTTTGGACTAAATTGAGGGTTGTTTCTGAGTCGACCGGTGGTGGTCCACGATGAAGACGGTGCCCTGAGGATGGGGTTCTGGCATGTTACACACAGAAAGAGAGAGAGAGAGAGAGAGAGAGAGAGAGTTTAGGGGAGAAAGTAAATGCATTTTGGGATTTTTTTCAAAACAATTTTTAAAAATGGCAAAAAGAACACGTTTTCAATAATTACAAAATGGCCACTTAAAATACAAAACCCAAAATGAATTCAAAACTTTATTTCTCAAAACAATTTTTAAAAATCGCAAAAAGAACACGTTTTCAATAATCTCAAAATGAACACTCAAAATACAAAACCCAAAATGAATTCAAAACTAAAAACATAAAACTGAAACATGAAGAGAACAATCCCTGAGGTTTTGCATAATCACTGGTGACGACAGAACTATAGTTTAATCGAACATCGCCCCTAACAATTGACAATTTGAGTTAGGGCCTTTAGTGTATTATTTTTAGTTTTTATTTTGATACAATGCATAATTGTGTGGGTGTTTTTTTTTTCCAATGAAGTAAAGCAAGTGTCGCAAGATATTATGTAATAAAAGTAACTATATGTGTAGCATGACATCATGGTTTACTACAAATTATTTTGATTTAGACGTGTAAAGTAAATAAGTTGTGTACGCCGAATCATGGGTTGACATTAGATTTTTAAGCAAGATATTATTATGTAATAAAAGTGACTATATGAGTGTAGCATGACATCATGGTTCACTACAAATTATATTGATTTAGACGTACAAAGTAGATAAGTCGTGTATGCCGAATCATGGGTTGACATTAGATTTTTAAGTTGTGTAAATCCACACTAGTTACATAAGTTTTTGATGATTATATTAATGATCACTTGATCAAAAGATATTAACTTTAAATCTAGAGTTTCAACGTGTCAAACAGTGTTATTATTGTGTCATGTCAACAAAAATCGTTGTTAAATAAAAAAAA